AGGCACAGGTGTCATACACAGCCATGTTGAGTCCAGAAATCAAGCTCAGCAAGAATTTCAGCATCTTGAAATTGTGCCCAAGAAAAGCAAAAAGTACTCAGTGAAAACACAGTTTCCAGGAGAAAAAAAAAATATTAAAAAAAATACTATGTGACCAGAATCCCTGCACTTATAAAAAAAGTAGAGTGGGACAAATGCACATAATTAGCAACTGATGAAACTACAAAGAATATGGTAAATCACTTGGAAATTTTTCAACCAAGCATGGATGTCGCACTGAAATGTACAATTTAATTCAAGCACAAACTGTTGGGATCACGTCAACAGTCACTGCACAAAATTGTGTGGCCTGAATCAGGTAAAAGAACAACTAAACAGGTCATGACAATCCCATAATCGCTCTGCTTTGGTCCCAGGGAAGGACTCTTAAAAACTTGTATTCAAACTCTAACTTACCAGAAAGATTGTTGAAGAGAAGTAATTTAGCAAATTTCATTTTTATTTACTCAAGATAAGTATTTGTAACCCTGCTGTAACTAAGAACGAATTTTAACAAAGTAGTACTTTTTTCTTTAACCCTAACAAAAAACCACACAACTGTATCAACAAACTAAGTCACCAACGTGATAGCAACCAAATATATGTATTTGAAATCCTCTTTCCCCTTCACAAATGGCCACCACTCTTTGAAACTCTTCTCCATTCTCAAGGTATTTTGACTTTAGTCAAATAGTCTGTATACAAGCCTCTTTTTACTTTGCATAAATGTGTTCATATTTTTTTTTTTTTAAAGGGTGGTGTGTGTTATTGCAGTATAGAGCAGCCCAAAAGATTCACACCTGGTTTTATGATGACATCTGAGAATGCCTGGCTTATGCATGCTTTCTAAACACTAATAATAATTTAAAAAACCCACAAAAAACCACAACCCCGAGACTGAAACACAGTTATTAGCAAACAAGAATTAAGCAAAGATAATGAAATGGCAAGATGAACCCTGATGGATAAAGAAATTCTTCTACTCATATGAAGTATTAAATTTAAAAGCAATTAAAAATTATCTTAGAAGTTAATGCGATCTTTGACAGCAATCTAAATGTGTTTATCACCTATTAACTCTTCAGACCTTAAGAGTGAAAAATAAATGTAAAGCCCAAGTCAGATAACCCAGTGCATCTCTCCAACAAGATAACCATTTGCTAATTTTTATACAAGGGACCCATTTCACCACGTGCTAACTTTTATGGTGAATTTTACAACACTGGCAAACAATTTCATCTTTACGACAACTTTCAACATTTTTTTCCCCCTGTGCCTTCTCATGCCTTTCCAAAATGCTGTTATTTGGTAATGCTCAGATCTCTGAAAACCCAAGTTAAAGCACACAGCGCTTCAGCTCAACTCAGCCCCTCTCTGGGACTGGCATTGCTTACAGGAGCCATCTGCATGAATTCTGTGTGCATTTACTGTGTGATGTTAATGAAGGAGAGCGTTCAGTGAGTCTGGCTGGCAGTATAACCATGTTACAAGGACATCAGGGGATTACGGTGCCTTGCAAAACTGCATCTGTAACGTGCAGGATTAGGAAGGAAGGAGATAATTCACTGGAGGGATGCTACCAACCTTACACATTTGAGCAGACAGGGGAGGGAATAGTTTCACTTGTAACTTGACAAGTAGGCACTAAGGTAACAAGCCTTGTCTTTGAGACCCAAACTAGTACATCAGCTTGTACTGTACCACATGCCATCACTCCAGAATGGTGCTGCACTGAGCTAGGCAATTATACCTTCTTAAATACATTCCACTGCACGAATGCTGTGTTCACAAGGCAGTGTTGCCATGATTAATTACTACTGCATTGCACGCTTCCAATACTTTTCTAATCTGGCTTTTTTTGGGGTGCCAAAACTTATACCGCTTCCTAAAGTTACTGAAATGGCATAGTGACACCTAATGTGAAGGGACAACAAGATGAAGTCTAAAAAATCCCAATATTTGTAACAAAATAAATTATATCTCAAGAGAGTTACATATAACGTATATAGCAAAATAAAAAGTACGAGAATTAAGGAATGAAACTGTATTTCAGTGATTCAAAAGCAAACAAATTATATCAGAATTATTCAAATCTCAACATTACAGACCAAAGAGCTTCAGAATTAGACTTACACATCAAAGAAATCTAACCTGCTAACATAACTGCAAGGCATCTCAACTATAAAGTAGTGGCACCAGGTGTATAAATGAGACATTACTGTATTTGTAATTGTGAATTAGAATAAAAGTAATCTCAGTCATAGGGGTTTGGGGGCGGGGGAGGGCTGTAATTTTCTCTGCCATTCAGTTTAAAAAACGTAAAAAGAGTAAAGTTAAGAAAAGAAGAAAGGCGAAACAAAAGCAGTAAAAGTATATTAGTAAAAATTAAATAGAAAGATACCACACCAGGTAAAATTATTTTATTCCCTTAAACTACAAGCAGAAAGGCAACCAAACTCAGTTTCTTTTCTTGGCTGAAGATGTCAGTAGAAGTTCCAAGATCTGTAGCTGCCAAAAGCAACTACAGACCGTTCAGCCTCCTCCATTCTCTTAAAATCACTTTTAGCTTTCTCTTCCTTCCACAGGGACTGAGTTTTTGCATTCTTACTCTTGAGAGAACTTATCTCCATTCTCCACTCCACATTCCAATGTACCATTTATTTTCTCCTGTAAATCCATTTGTTCCTACCTAGGGGCTAAAACTGCACGTGGTGCGAGCAAAAGCCCACAGAATGGAGCTACTCAGACTTTTGTTGCATGAGTATCTGCTAGCTTCCTATATGGAGATGCCTGGCTTGATAGACCAGTGACAGCAGTGAACATCGTCTACCCTGACTTTAGCAAGGCCTGCAGTGTGTCCCATAGTGTCTTTTAGCCAGATTGGTAACATATGGACTAGGTAAGTAGACAATAAGGTTGGAAAAAAAACTAGCTGGACCACCAGGCTGAAAAGGTTGTCGTGAGTGGTACAAAGTCCAGCTGGCAGCTGGTTACTGGGGACATCCCCCAAGTGCTGATACTGGGGCCAACAGTTTAATGTCTTTATTAACAGTCTTAACAAGTTAACTGAATACACTTTCAGCAAGTCTGTAGAAGATATTAAACCGGATTTGTTCACTCTTAAGGTATGACAACTAAAGGGAGAAATCCTACTGCTGTCTTCCATTACTTAATGAAAACATACACAAATAAGATGGACCTGGGCTCCTTTCAGAGAAGCACAGTGATAGGACAAGAGGCAGTGGACAGTAAGTTTCAACAAGGGAAATCCCAATTAGATGACGGGAAAAAAATTTTCACCACGATGATGGTCAAACACTGAAACAGACACCGAGGGAGGCTGTGGAATCTCTATCCTTGGATATTCTGGAGTACTGATGGGAGAAAGTTGGAGGAGTACTACCTTCACAACATTTCTATCCTCTTTTACAGGACAAGCTAATTAATAGAAGTTATGAAAGCTACTGAGAATCACATAATCTGAACATTAATAAGTTTAAAAGCTAAATAAGGAGTATTTTGCAGTGCATTTTCCTTCTTGTTTCTTTTTAAAATACAGCTAAGATTGTTAAAATGTCATTAGACTACATAAAGCTTGTTCCAGAATTTGTCTGGTAAAGGTCTTAGTAACACATGACAGCATAACCCTACAGCATTCATCTACTCTGAAAAGCAGATGCAAGTCATCACTCTGCATTTGCCTGGTGTGCAGTGCTGCATGTACTATGAATGCACGTGCTTTTCTGGCTTCTTTGTGAAGTGTGTACTGGAGAACCTCTACCGTATTTGCTCCCTGAGTTGTGAGGTGAGAAGACATTTACAAAACTTCTTCTACGTAATCTTCTCTCTACGAAGAGAACACCTTATTTCAATATCTAAATGTCAAACTAAGTAAAAGAAACTGCGCAGGATTATTATCTCTATGCTATAGTTGGAGAAGCAGACATTTGACATTTAAATTACTTTCTCAAAGTCAGAGAACAAGTAGCTGAAGCAAGCATAGGAAATTAATACAAAAATTTCCAACTTCCAGTTTTTATGTTGGCAGTGAGGAAGATAAGCCACACATTTGCCAATGAGAGAGAAAATACATATGCACATACAAAGTGTTTCTCCTATTGGAGCACATACTTTGGGTTTTTTGGTAGCTTCTAGTCATTTATGGTCTCAAACAGCTGAGGGGAGCTGGATGTAATGAGAAAACAAAGATTCCTTCAGAATGCAATGTAAGAGCCCTTGTTTTACACTTACTACACTCCCCCCTGTCACTGTGCTCTTTCTTTTCCATTTCTAGGTACACCATTCCCCACACACACCCAAAAAGAATTTGCTTGACTGCTAAACAGAAGATGACATGAGTGTTACATCATTTACAGAAAGCAATCAACAAACCCTTTCTGAGCTTTAGCAAGCCTCTTCCTACATTAGCATTAGGGCAATTTAAAACAATACTTGAAATGCTTTTGCAACATTTAGCCAAAATCAATCATGACTACTTCTTCATATTTACTGAAGTAAGTTGGGGTAATTGCATTTTTAAAATGCGTGCAGCCCTGAATTGCAGATCTGACCACTGAGTCACTGTCTCCTTTCTAAACTCATCTGTGTTTTTTCTCTGGGCCAACAAAATGGTCAAAGTTCCTCTGGCCAGCAGAAGAATTAATAAAACAACTCTTCCAAAGTAGGAATAGACTGACTTTATACAACATTATGAACTGATGCTCTAATTGGCAAGCCAGAGCTCTGAGACTCTTGTCCCTTCCCAAGGCTCAGACACGAAGTAACAAATGGAAAAACCAAAGGCGGTTCCAAAGCAGTTCATGGGACAACCTGGCACAACTCAGCTGTGATCAGTCACATCCTTTTGCAAGATAAAGGCTGAAGTGTTCAAGCAGGTGGGCTACTGGCAGGCAATCCACCTCAACAGAATACACAGATAAACTGTATTTACTTTTTCTTACCTGATATGCGTTGCCGGAAGGGACTCATACTGGCGAGAAAGGAAGAGCTCTCTGTGCTTCAACTGATGTTTCTGTTTATCAGTCAAGTCAACCTCAACAGTAGTTTCAGACTCTTCTTCAACTTCTTCTGCAGAGAAGCAGAGCGTAGGTCGAAATTAACTCTGTTGCATAACACCATTGCAGCCATTTCACTTGACATCCCCCCCACCTCTTAGCAACCTCCCTTAGTATTTCAAAGAAAAGATGAGTTTAACAAGACTACAGTTTATGTAACTTGACAGAATATTAAGTATTTTGAATTCTATACCTTCTACTTAAACTCTTTAAAAAATTATGCTCCTCTCCTACTGTACTACACGTTGATGTCTTTCACACAGCTGTAAGAACAATCCTGACAACATTACTCATTCTTTTTTCATCTTCTTTCATCTGTTTTTTCTCTGGGGGTGCCTCTTGCTTGCTGACCAGTTCTGGTTTAGAGTTTCTGCTGCTGATATTGGTATTGCTAAAACTTTTACAGAAGTCCTGGGGAAAAGCATACTTTCTATGAACAGAAATTTACTAAAACACAATTGCAGTCTAAGACTGCCAAATTGAGTCTAAGAAAACTGAAAAAGCCTGCAGCCTTCCATTATGTTAACCTTATTAGATACAACAAATACAGTTTATTTTCATATTTAAATAAGATTTAATATTATTTCTATTTTAAGCAAGACAGCACTATTTAATCTAGAAGATAGCATCTATAACAGCAAATTGTAAATTAGATAGTTCTTTTTGAAGGACGTTTTCAGTTGAAAACTATCTTTTATAGTTACTCTGATCTGAAATTCTCTAGTATTTCCTCATATATGATAAAACCAAGGAAATAATTCCCTTTTGTCCTGGTTTCGGCTGAGGTAGAGTTAATTTTCTTCCTAGTGGCTGATACAGTGCTGTGTTTTGGATTTAGGATGAGAATAATGTTGATAACACACCGATGTTTTAGTTGTTGCTAAGTAGTGCTTACACTAGTCAAGGACTTTTCAGCTTCCCATGCCCTGCCAGCGAGAAGCTGGGAGGGGGCACAGCCAGGACAGCTGACCCCAACTGGCCAAAGGGACATTCCATACCATGGGACGTCATGCTCAGTACATAAACTGGGGGGAGTTGGCCGGGGGGCAGCGACCGCTGCTCAGGAACTGACTGGGCATCGGTTGGCGGGTGGTGAGCATCACTTGCTTTGTATATTCTTTTATCATTATTATGATTATTATTTTCCCTTCCTTTTCTGTCCTATTAAACTGTCTTTATCTCAACCCACGAATTTTACTTTTTTTTTTCCCTCCCCGATTCTCTCCCCCGTCCCACAGTGGGGGTGGGGCAGAGGGAGTGAGCAAACAGCTGTGTGGTGTTTAGCTGCCTGCTGGGTTAAACCACATTAAAGATTTAAACCAACTGTAAACTGGGATCATAAAGGAAGAAATAAAAGGAGATACTAGAAAGCATCACATACAGAGTTAAAAAGCAATGTTCACAGTGGTTGCTAACATGTCATAAGATGACAGGCTCTCCAAAATGGCTACCCTGGATCTTCATGGCTGAAATCTGCCTTCCTAGTGGGTTCTTGGGACATGCGGAGCTTTAATCTATACTCCCTCTAGCTTCCCAGAAAGGACAAAAAGTCTCCGTGAATACTGTATGCAAAAATACAGACACTTTAATAACTTCTCTAAGATTTGACAATTTTCTACCTGCTAAATTATCCATCAGCTGCAAAACCCAAGTGTACTTTATAAAATATGTCTCAGAAATTAAAAAACTAAACCTCAGCATTAGATAGTATTTCACATGACTACCTACAACATATCACCT